ACAAAGTCCAAACTCCCAGTAATCCCGAGCAGTAATAATGTCCCCATCGCTAATCATCGCAAAGGGAGCTCCATTGAACCGGATTTCTGTTCCGTTTCATGGAGAACTAAATATTCAGCTTGTTATATTAATGTTAGTGGTTCAGTGTCAATAACAGCGGCGTTTGCTAAGAGAATTACCAAATCTGGTCAAATATTTTTGCAAGATATATAATACAGATTCTTATGTCTCGATGAGAGAAAACACGAGGTGCAAACGTATTCATAACCTAATTCTTTCAATTAACATGTTTTGTGTGAAGTATATTCACAGGAAGACCGCTATAATCCCTTAGTTATATATCAGCGATCACAGTTGCCGCGCCGTCTAAGGCATTTTCGCTCGCTCAAACACCAGGATCGTGGGTTCTAATCCAACTTCAGGCATTGATGTCTATGTGTGTTAATCTGTATTTGTACTGTGTGCAGGTATCGGCCTTGCGACGGGCTCATCCCCCGTCCAAGGGTTCCTACTGACTGTGTTAAAAGATCAAGAAACTGAGAAAGTGGCCAAGGTCCAATAAAAGGCAGTAGAATCATAGATAGATACCCGATATCCGAACCAGGCAGCGGGCCTTATTCAGGTGTTCAGATTAAAATAATTAACACACTTTGAAAAAACTACGTTATGAGGACTTCCAGTGAGACAACATTCTGCTGTTAAGACTTTCTTCGTTTCACTAAATATGTACGTCACACCGCAAATGCAAAACGTCTGCATTGAAGTTTACCGGTCCACACTCTTTGCTTCTAGATAAGGATGTGCAGTCAAGGACAGGCAGTGGGTTGCGTGTTCGGGGCTACCGTCCGACGTGAATGGGTCCTCTCTTATCGCGCCGCTGTAGCTATCTGTACATACTTGGCGTCATTCTCACTTCCTGTGCTCCCTTCAGCGTCACGTAACAAAGGATACTACTACGCATGTTGAACACTTCTCTCTGGATTGCAGAAACAGGGCACGTCGCGTTTTACAGCACACTGTATCGCTAACTGCGAGACAGGCAGAAAGGTAAAGTTACTCCCGCTTTTAATTAAGCAATGCGCTATGAAGACGAATGGGAGAATGGAAACATTCATGCATCCATCAATGGCTCTACAGCTCTTTGCTGGGACCTGGCCTCCCCTTCAATTTCTTAATCTTTTTTAGACAGACGGAAGGACTCATTGGAAAGGGGATCAGCCTGTCGCAAGGCCGCTACCTACACACATAACAACACAAACACAGAATTAACGCACACAGACATCCATGCCTCGAGCGGGATTCTAATCCACGATCCCAGAGTTCGAGGGAGCGAAGACAGTTCATGCCTTAGGCCGCGCGGCCACTGTGATCAGCCAGAATGGATGTATAGTTCCATGAATTCTCATACTCTGCAACAACAGACCGAGGCAAGTGGTCAGTTTCACGCTTCGTTCCCTTACCAATGGGGAAACAGCTCTCGGGCCTTCGTTGGACAGGAGACAAAATCGGCCACCCAAGCCGGTTCAAGGCCGATGGATACGAGTAATGAGTAATACTGACTTACGTCCAAAGCTGATAAAACAACTGAACAAGTTCCGATACTGTAACTGCCTGGGCTACGACATATCACACAACGCAGACGATGTCTAGATATGAACACGTGTGGAACAATACAAATAACGTTAAAAATAGAAATTATATACAAAAGGCAAAGGTAAAGATATCCCTGTAACCGGTCGTGGAGGCCCATAGGGTTGTGAAACGTCGATGCTCCCATATTTTCTAGGCAATCGGCTCAGACATGGCGGTGAGGTTGTCAGCCTTACGCTCCGGCCGCCCTTTATTCCCAGCAAGATTCCTGGTACTCATATCTGTTAGTGGTTGAGTCGACGCCAGGGCCATAGTGCGGCTGGAAGGATTAGGTCAATTGAAAAATCCACTGACCTCACCGGGAATAGAACCCGCGACCTTTCAGCTTATAGCATAGTGCCTCAGCCAACTATGTTACCGCGTGTCCCAACTAGAATGGACATGCGGATTAAATTATATAAGCTAATAACAGCTCCTATGCTTGTGTCCAGAAGTGAAAACTTGACTTGCAGGAATTTGAAATTTGAGAAAAATGAAACAGCACAAATGTGCGTTTTAAGGCTTGTCAGACTGTCTACAGGCTGGACGACAAGAGTCTCGATAGGCCGCGCCATAGCACAAGCGGTTACTTGCTGGCTTCCCACCGCGGCGGCCCGGGTTCGATCGCGGGTCTGGTCAAGTGGGATTCGTGGTGGACAAAGTGGCGTTGGGGTAGGTTTTCTCCGAGCACTTCGGTTTCCCCTGCCAATCTTCATTCCACCAATTACTCCATAATCACCCTCACCTATCATTTGGGGCTGGTACAATAGACCAGAAGTGGCCGCAGTACAAGGGACTTAGTCCCACCCCACTAGCAATAAAAGAAATAGAGTCCCGATAGGATCAAGAATTTTCTCTTCTCCACGTCGTCCAGATTGGACCTGGGGCCCACCCAGCCTCCTATCCAGTGGGTACCGGGGGCTCTTTCACCGGTGATAAAGGGGCCGGGACACGGTAGCCGAGCGGTCTGAGTCATGTACTGTTTTCGCTCGCTCGGAAACCGGAATTGTGGGTTCGAATCCCACACAAGTCATGTATGTTTGGTATATGTATGTGTTTATTCTGTTTTTGTGTTGTCCTGTGTTCAGGTAGAGGCCTTGTGACGAGCTGATCACTCATCCAAGGAGTCCTACCGTCTGCATATTTATCATGAAACTGAAAATAAGAGGTCAGGGCCCAAGGGGGCTGTAGAGCCAATAAAAAATATAACTGTAATGGTGAGCACATGCAGGCAATAAAATTGATTTAAATGTAATGTACTATGTTAGAATGTGGGTAAGATGTATATAAATGTACACAAGATGCATAGACAGTGTCTATTTCCGCTTGAATGCCCGTAATTACAGCTCACTTTGAAATTGCTTTGACACTTCCCGAATCCAGGGCGTGCGCATAAAGAACAGGGATTAGTGAAGTACATTAAGTCCTCGTTTAAAGTCGTGGATACTTTCTTGCGAACAGCGGCGTTATGTGAAACGCCGTTAAGCGGATAGATTTGTTTACCATAAAAACTTAAGAAACAAGTAGGTTACGTCCCTCGGCCTTTCTTCACCCCCCCTCTCTATAACATGCATTATAATACAGAAAACATGAACACGACTGTAAACACGTGAACAATTCCTGACCATAAATGCATGCAATTATAAATTAAAACGATTTTTACTGTGTATTAATCGGGGGCAGGTTTTAGCGTAGGTGAGTGAGGCACTATGCTACAAGCCGGATGGACACAGGTTCCATTCCCGATTAGGTTATTGGATTCTTTTTTCAGTTGACCTAATCCTTCCAGCCGCTCTATGACCCTGGGATAACTGGGACAGGCAGATGACTAAACCCATGAAAGGTGCCTACAAGAAGACGAATCAGCCACACATATCCTATGTGATTGTGGGGCCATAGCTTACTTAAGATTTGGCATCCTGGGTCAGTTCTTCATGGAACCAAGTGACTTTTATGATGTCCCCATAAGCAGGGTCCTACAGTGTGGGATTAATAATGGGTTAATCCAAAGGGGAAGCACAATAGATCATTGAAGGTCGCAGTGTAAGGGCCGGATTCTATGGCCCACCCCTTACACACATAACATACACATGGCCCTGGGATCGACTCTACCGCTAACAGAAATGAATACCTGGAATTTTCCTGCGGGTAAAGGACGGCCAGCGCGAAAGGCTGACAACCTCACAGCCATCTGTGAGCCGACTGTCTAGAAAATGTGGAAGCCTCGACGTCTCACAACCCTGTGGACCTCCAAGGCCTGTTACAGGGATAGCTTGGCGCGTAAGGCTGACAACCTTACCGCCATCTGTGAGCCGACTGTCTACAAAATGTGGAAGCCTCGACGTCTCACAAACCTATGGGCCTTCACGTCCTGTTACAGGGATATCTTTAGCTTTTCTTCTTATTTCATTCACCGATGGCGAAACGAGAAGCGAGCGAGAAGTGGATGAGGGGCCGGTCTCGTCCACTTTAAACACGTGATTTGGAAAGAAGCCCTCCTCTTCTATCGTAGGACGTAATAACGCGTTACCACGGAGCTGCGTGCAGCCTTGGTATGAACAGTTATCAACGTAATAACCAGACAATGTCAACTGGGACGTCAGGAGAGGACTCAGTGCACTGCATTCTCAGAGGCGACGCCGAGCAGGAGGCAAGCAAGATTTAGAAAGCACAGTGCTACTGTTCTTTGCTTGGCTAACTTAGGCTTCAACATATAAAATTGAGACAGCTGACTTTCAACAGACTACACGGCGTCATATCCCAGAAGACAGGAGTCTTAAATAGCTTACTGATCTTCACTGTTTCTAGTTATCCTGTTTTCCTATAAACTATCATGAATATTTCAACGATAAAGAAGGTAAAAATGCTCCTCTGCTTAGTTAAGCTCCATGAAAACGAAACGGAGTGGAGGTGTAGCTCCACGTATTCCTAACATCGGCATGAAATGTAGATAACCTGTCAGTTTCATTCAGTAGCCTCTTCTCCCGGCGGAAGGAGCCCTGAAGGAGGGTAGGTGGGCCCCAGAGCTGATTTATACAGTGTGGAGAAAAGAATAACCTCTTGCTCATATCGAGAATAGAATTCGAATTCTCGATCCCCCAGACGGTAGCCTCGTCGCTATACATGGAAAGGTTTGTCCACCTTAACCCTAGAAGTGCCAAGCTGTCATTTTTCGTTGCACAAAATAATATACTACATGAAAACCCCAAGAACTTGAGGTGTCGGAGAAAAATTCCCTCCAAATGCTTTCTGACGGCGTAATTCAAATAAAATTCCAACAGATGTCACATGCTGTCAGATATACCAGTTTTCTTTTGTAGAGGTCGAAATTTTCGACACTCGCAAACTTAAGTATCACAAATCAAACTCACCGCTATCACGTGACCTCGGTCCATCACAGTTCATAATATCTGCAACAAAGAGAATAAATGCACTCTGTTGGGCTTCATTCTTTTTTTCCACTGGCGAATTCGGCTGTGGCATGTTCTCAAACAGAGTTTAGTTGATAAATTACGAATCTTATCGACAGTCTGTACGACTTCTTGGACAGGGGATCAGCCGGCCGCAAGGCCGCTACCTACACAGTACAACATAAACACAAACAAATGCATACACAGACCTCGACTGGGGTTCGAATCCAAGATCTGATTTTAACAGGCGAAAACATTAAAAACGGTAAAGCTATCCCTGTAACAGGCCGTGGAGGTACACAGGGTTGTGAGACGTCGAGGCTCCCACATTTTCTCTAGACAATTGGCTCACAGATGGCTGTAAGATTGTCAACCTTAAGCATCGGTCGCCCTTTACCCCTCAGGAAGATTCCTGGTACTCATTTCTGTTAGAAGCTGAGTCGACCCCAGGGCCACAGTGCGGCTGGAAGAATTAGATACATTATAAAAAGTTTCAATGATCTCATCTGGATTCCAACCCGCGACCTTCCGGCTTGTAGCATAGTGTCTCGACCAACTACGCTACCTCGTGCTCCCGGGAAGAAATTTCGTGTCTTAGGTAGGCCGCACACCGACATGCGTCAAGGCATGTAACAGACACGATGTCTGCGACATGACGCAAAGAAAGGAGCACAGTTGAAACGAATGAGATTATGAAAACCGCCACACACCGGTCTGAGTCATGATTCTGAGGTCAGCTTCATGCTGACAAATCACGAATAAGAAAGACTGCGTCTTTTGTTTCATGTCTTGATGCTTGTCTTGACGCAGTTGGTGTGCGGCCGCCCTTAAATCGCGCGGACGCTGTGACCGCTATTGGACTCGTTTCTGCTACAAGATAACCTTCACGAGGACTGTTGAACTGTACATCCTGCGGCTGTCAGGACGCTCACGTTACGGGCGACAGGACATAAAGCTGTGAACGACAAAGTGAGGACGGGTAGACAAGTTCACTGGCGACCTCCATTCGTGAGCCAGACCTAGCCACAAGAGCCCTTATTTATAAACTATTAGCCTGACAGTTATAGACGTGTCTTCTTTCCAGTAACATCAATATTCATACAACTGCTGAAAATCCTCCAGCCAGGTAAATATTGTCACGTGTCCGGGGTTCCGTGACAAATAATTGCGGGTTGCGGATTAGATTGGATAAGCCGTTTACAATTATAATCACTCCGAAATAGCGTCTTCCAGACGATGCGACCTGACTACTCCGTCGTCTCTCACGTCTCATCTTCAACGTTTACTCACTCTTCCACCTCTGTTCTCGGTGGAGTGTCTTTGCTGTTAGTCCTTTGCTCCGCTCCGTTCGCCACTGATCTGCTTCCGAGCTCTGTTCCGTTTGGTCTCTTATCTTCCACAGTCGGACGCACTAGAAAACACCTACTTGAAGGGTATTCGTTGCAGCGGGAACTGCAGTAGCTCTGGCCTTCATTCCCGTGGTAACGGTCTCTTATGCATGCGCTGTCTCAGAAACGTTTCATTTTCACCCCTACGATACAGAACCGTGGATACTGAGCCGTTGTTTAACAATGGATGTGTCTGTATGAGCTGTCTCGGAAACGTGTTTTAACAGCCGTTGTCTAGCAATGGACGCCCGTTAAGATATCCTGACTTTTAGGCGACACGCCACAATATTTTAGTTGCAAGAAACATGGAGATCAGTATTCTCTGGACTTTCCACCCTGTTCAGCATGAAAGAGCAATTTCCTCCTGCTGTAATGTTTGTGCAGCACATTAGCAAACGATGTGTAGGATCCCTCTCTCGCGTCTAATTAATCACGATTTGTTAAATCCTTTTGATGTGGTTCGCCATTTACTCTGTCCCACAAGTGATCCAGTGAGACTGACAGAAGCCCAAAAGCCAACTCCAGAAGACAGAGTGGGTAAGTAGCCGCAAGTAAAATGTCTGTTAAGCTCAATATCGTCTAAAATGAGTTGCCTCGTGTCTCGATCGATACATTAAGACACATAAAAGCTGAAGTTGTCCCTGTGCTTAACTAATTAAGCAGTACACCATGAAGATGTATGAGGGAGTCGATGTATAGATCCACGTTTTCTTGACCTCGGCACTAGTTGGAGATGAGTGGTCAGCGTCACGTCCCGGCTACTTTACCCCTTGGGAAAGAGCCCCGGTACCAATTGGATAGGAGGCTGGGTGGGCCCCAGAGCAGGTCTGGACGCTGTGGAGGAGAGAAAATTCTTGACCCTACCGGTACTCAAAATCCGACCCCTCGGTAGTCCAGCCCATAGCGACTATACCAACTACGCTATCCCGGCTCCCTCATTAAGATCTATAAAGTAAACAAAAGGTAAAACTATCCCTACAACAGGCCGTGGAGGCCCATAGGATTGTGAAATGTTGAGGTTCCACATTTTCTAGACAATCGGCTCATAGATGGCGGTGATGTTGTCAGCCCTACGCACCGGCCGCCCTTTGCTTCCCAGATGATTCCTGGTACTCATTTCTGTTAGAGGCTGAGTCGATCACAGGGCCATAGTGCGGCTGGAAGGATTAGGTCAACTGAAAGAGATCCAATGACCTCATCGGGATTTAAACCCGCGACCTTCCGGCTTGTAGCACAGTGCCTCAACTAACTACGCTACCGCGTGCCCCTCATTAAGGCCTATACAGATATAAATATATGTTTATTTAAAATAGAATGGACCACACCGCTACAGTATGCAGTTTGTGTTAAGACTAATTTCTGTTAATAGGACCAATATGAATTCTGCATTTACAGGCCCACTATAATGATTTCAGATTAACTACTTTATATAGAGAATTTTGTGCCTGGCATGGAGGCATCATGAACACACCTACGATTTTACTTTAAGACTTTATTTCGAGCACTAAGAAATCAGAACATAATGCCGGAGCCAACATCTGAATTTATGTCTGAACAGTGACAAGTATGGGCTATATCTAAACGGTAAGTTACATACCAAATCAGTAGCANCTTGCAGATTTCTTATATTTTTTCTTCTACCCTGAAGATGGAGGCGATACGTTCCTCCGAAACGTCGGTTAACACCACATAAACACGGTGCCAAATCCCAGAAGACTGCTTTCTTATTAAAGGAAGCAGCAATACTGCTACAGCTATCTCTATTCGCACGCAACTCAGCTACCCTGAAGATGGAGGCGATATGTTCCTCCGAAACGTCGGTTAAAACGAAGAATACACGGCGCCAGATCCCAGAAGACGACTTTCTTCAATGTAAGATTACTTTCTGAATTAAGACGCCATAGTTCGGGGCACGGTGCGCGGTCCGTCCCCTCCTACAACAGAGCTTTCCATGTTTCGTATAGTAATGGGGTCCATCTCTAGAAATAATCGAATGGTCTCGTAAAGGGACCAGCTCAAGAATGGCGTATTACTTTCCTTCTCGATAACGCGCGCAATAAAAGCTGGAAGATCATGAGAAATGGACAGAGAATTCTGGTGGGAGGAGACAGCGGAGTTAACTGCCTACACATAACATACATACTTTTACTTTTGCGCTTTATTGCAGCCTAAATTTACGTTGTGGCATACGAGTGCATGTCGCAGAGGAAATCTTCATGGGCCGTACAAACAGACTGGGTGTAGTCGAAACTGAGAATACAGGTCGACAGATCGATATGCCACGTCAGAGGCGGTTGTTTGAACAGTGAGTATATACCCCTTCATAAAGTTAAGCTGAGAAGTAATTTGGTTCTTCAAGATGACACACTGAATCTTTATTACAATGCCCAGTCTCCGAGTTTAAATCTCTGACGTAACAACAAATGTGAATGTTATTTCAAGTTCCTTCCTCAAACACGTTTCGGAATGTAGACGTGTTTCCATCATCAGTGTACGAAGAAAGATTCCTACTGTCGCGAGCTTCCCATAGCGGCGGGTTGGGTTCGATCCCAGGTCATACGTGGGATTTGTGGTGGACGAAGTGCCACGGGGACAGGCTTTTTTTTCTCCGGGTACTTCAGTTTCCCCTGCCGATCTTCATTCCTTCAACTGCTCCATATACTCATCTATCAACCGGGGTTGGTATTGTAGGCCCAGCCGCCCTACGAAGTGGGCTCAGTGTCACCCACCCTAAAAGTTTTGACGTCTTGACCAAAGTGATTATTGCGTGCAAAATTCTCTTTTGAAGGTTTTAATCAATTTCTTTTATGGACCAGTTTTCCTCTCTCTCTGTGTTCCTCGTTCTTATTCTTTCTTCTATTTCCTCCCTCTCTGGAGAGTGCAGACAGTTAAGGTTATTACAATGAATTACGACTTGCCTCTAGCTTTATGGGGTTCTCACCCCCCGGTTCACGGACACATGGTCTTCCCTTCAGTGTTCACTAACTCGGAATACCATCCCCTGTCTCATATCTCATGTTCTGGACATTCGGAGTTCTATTCCAGGGGTTTGATATCTGGAGAATTTCTGCGTATTACTGTATGTTATGTGCGCGCATACCCCAGACGCGCATGCGAATCCTATCCACATTTTTACATTATTCTCCCGTGCACTCCATGGTCTCTCGAACATTCTGTTGCCTTCAAGCGTCCCGATTAGAATTCTATATTTGTACTTCCATTCAGACATCTTCGATTTGGCCTTCATAAAAATAGGCCTATTTCCAATTTGGTAAAGTATATAATTATGAATCCTCATGCAACCTGGGAGCCTGCCGTCTCACAACCCTACGAGTCTTCACGGCCTGTTACAGGGATAGATTTACCTTTACCTTATGCCACCTTCTCCAGAATACGGTTGTCTTCTTCCTCTCTGGTCCAAACGTTGTCCTCAGCACCCTATTCTCATGTACCCACAATTTATACTAGATCTCAGTAGACAGGTTACGGGCTGGACGGCCAAAGTTCGATTCCCGACATGAGAAAGAGATCTGTCTTTATTCCACAGCGTCCAGACCGGCTATGGGGACCATCCAGTTTCCTATCCAATGGGTACCGGGTTCTTTATCTGGA